CTTCTAATCTGATTTCCAGTTTGTGAGGGGAGTCACTTTGGGTGGGGGGCCCATGGAACCCAGCTCACTGTGGAAAGGTGGGAAGATCCCTGTCTCAGCTCCCCATATTCTTATGTGTAAATCACTCTGTGCCTGTTAGGGGTGCAGGGTGATCTGTCCTAATAATGTGTAGACATGTCTAGGAGATAGGTGGGGTAGGGGTTGTGGATTGTTTGGTGTTATGTTGCATCCCATTGGTCTATTGTGTGTCTTGCTTGGGAGCAAACTATTATGGCATGTATGTGTTTGTGTATTAGCTTAGTGGGGGGTTGTCTCCAGCAGCCCTCCCCACTAATGGGACTGTCTGCTGGAGTGAAGTTTGAATACCTGTGTATCTCGTTACTAAATGTAGATTGCCCCACCCTGTGTCATTATGCAGGGAGGCGGGATTTGTCCCTTGAGTGTATATATCTTCTGTGTTCAAAATAACTAGTCTACCTCCTGGTTTACTTCAAGACTGGTATCATCTGTTCTCGTATGGTCGGCTGTGGTTGGTGTTCAGACCGAGAAGCAGTATTCTAAACAGAAGTACTCAGTGCAGACTGGGACGGTTACGTTACGTGGTTTATGAAGCTTTGTAGGTCGCTGCTCTTCAGGAGAAGGGAAGCCATCTACAAATGCTCAGAATGCTTGAGAACTGTGAAGACAAGGCTGTAATCTCGGGAGAATTCCTGGGATTACAGTTTTGTGAAAGTAAGACACCAAATCACAAAATAATACACTTCCTAATAAAATAAAAATAGACAAAGTCCAGCACTCACAAATACAGACACCCCCTTATTATGACATACTGGAACTATTACAAATTCACACAGTAATCAGATGATTATTTTTCTTATGAACAGTGCAAAGTGAAATGGTTGAACATACATCTGGCATGCAGCTATACACCATTCATAAAATTTAAAAACAAAACATATAGTTAAAATATTTAAATTAGATTCCCCCATATAATAGAAATAGATCTCTGCATGATTTCAAACCATATCTTAGGGGGGTGTCAAACTGGAAGCCCTCCAGTGAATCTACAAGTCCCATCATGCCTCTGCCTTTGGAATTCATGCTTGTAACTATCAGTATTTATAAAGCAATGCCTTGTGGGACTGTACAGTTTGGCCACAGAGGAGGGCTGCAGTTTGACAGAACCGTGAGTCTTAGGCAGTAAATGCAAAATACATTAGGGGATCGAGGGCCCTGCTATTTTAATTACAATCTAGGAAAAGGGGATATAGAAAGTGATAACTGTGGGGATTCAATGGTATAAGAGTAGGTGCTGTCAATCAAAGGGGGCGGGGTACCCCTGAAAATAGAAACATGGTAAAATCCTAAAAAAAGGTAAGGATAGTCAGGGGTGAGAGTAGGTGATAATTCTTTTGTATGATGGGTTGGGGCAGGGAGTTCCAGAGGATGGGTGACACCCTGGAAAGTCCTGGAGGCGGGCATGGGTAGGAGGAGACCAGGGAACTAGAGAGAAGGAGGTCTTGTGAGGAGCGGAGTGTGCGTGCTGGGCGGTACTTGGATATTAGGTCAGTGATGTAGTTCGGGGCAGTATGGTGGACAGCTCACGTCAGTGTCCCATCATATGGATTTTGAATTTGATCCGTTGCGCTAATCGGAAGCCAGTGGTAGGAATGGCAGAGGGGGGTCATAACGGAGAACGGTTGGAAAGGTGAATGATGTCTGGCAGCCGTATTCAGGATGGACTGAAGCGGGGATAGCCTCTGAGCGGCGATGGCAGGCCAGTGAGGAGGGAGTTGCAGTAGTCGAGTCGCGATATGATAGGGAGTGGATGAGCTGTTTAGTGGTTTCTGGAGTTAGGAACGTGCGGATTTTGGCGATGTTGCGGAGGTGGAGTCTGCATGAGTTTGTTAAAGAGTGGACTTGGGGCTAGAAGGATAGGTTGGAGTCCAAAATGACACCAAGTACTCTGGCCAGCGGGGCGGGTTTGATGGTGGCGTTGTTTGGACATGATGGAGACAATCAATGGGGGGGATGTCCGGGCTGGAGGGATAGACAAGAAACTCGGTTTTGGAGAGGTTCAGTTGTAAGGAAGTGGAGCGACATCCAGTCTGATATGTCGCTCAACAGGTGTGTGATTCGGGCGGAGACCGATAACAGGTGGGGGGTTGAGAGATATTTGTTGTCGTCATTCATAGAGGTGGTAGTTGAAGCCGTGAGAGTTATGAGTTGGCCAAGGGAGGAGGAGTGTAGTGGAGAAGAGAAGGGGCCCGAGGACAGATTTTGGGGGACCCCAACAGAGAGGGGGAGTGAGAGGGAGGTGGTGGCATTATAGGTAACGCTGAGAGAGCGTTGTGACAGGTAGGATGAGAGCCAGGAGAGAGCAGAATCTCTGAGGCCGAGGGAGTGTAGTTTTTTGAGGAGGAGAGGTTTTCCAAGGTCGACTGTGTCAAAGGCCGCAGAGAGGTCAAGGAGTAAGCACTGAATAGTGGCCATTAGCTTTGCGTGTTAGCAGGTCGTTGGAGAGTTTGAGTAAGGCAGTTTCGGTGGAGTATAGGGGACGGAAGCCGGATGTAGGGGATCGAGGAGGTTGTTGTCGTTACTTCAGTGTGAGAGCATAGGCGGGCGTAACTAGAAGTTTAATTCAGGGAGATGGGTCGAGGTTCACCTGATTCGGGGCATGTAAATCCCTCAAGTTTTTAAGTATGGGGGTGCATGTCCCTCGGAAAGTTTCAGAGGGGATATTGCGCTTTCAATTTCAGTGACCATTGTCCTGGTAGAGGGAGAGATTGAAGTGTGAGAATTGGGTTCATGTAAGAATGTTTATGGACCGGACTGTAGTTGGATAGGAAAAAAGAGGGGAGGGATCTGGGTCAAGGGGGCAGGTGGTGAGGCCATCCAGGAGGATCTTGGAAATTATGCTTGTAATCTGTCAATCTTGCAATGCCTTGTGGGACTTGGAATTTTGGCCACAGAGTGCTGAGGCTGCTAGTCTTAGGTGCAATTATAAATTAGTATAATAATAACTAAAAAAATGCTATTTTAATAAAGGGGGTTTAGAAAAATAACATATTGATTCAATGTATTGTATGGTGAGTTAAATCAAATCTGCAAAATCCAAAAAAAAAACATCGGCCAATAAACATAAAAAGGTAAAAAAATACTCATTTTAGTCACTTGAGGGTGAACAGGAAAATCACCATGGCAGGTACTGGAGGCTGTGGCCTAACTTCACTCACTGTGTATTGTACACAGAATTGCTGTTAAGTTGGAGAAACAGGACCGAATTATAATCCCGCTTAGAACCATGCCACATTCCTTACCTGAAAATACAGCTTATCAGTCAGACTTTCATTTGGCTATCGCCTTGGAGACTGCCTCTCTCAAGTTTTAGCTTGGCCACATCTCCCTCGAAAAGTCCCATCATATGCGCTAGTAATGACTGTGACCTAACAGATCCTGGTACCAATAATGAAGTCATAGAAGAACATGGTTTCTGGAAAGGTTGGACAGACTGGAAAAAAGGACCAAAAGAGTTCTCTGGAGATGACAGGGTTCTGTGGAAAGGACAAAAGGATGAAAAATAAGTCTGGAGAAAGCACTGGACTCTGGAGTGGTTTGCTGGAAATCTAGTGGAATTTATATTTAAAGTGCTGAGCAAACTCAGTTATATAAAATCCTGTATAATAATAATAAATAAATTCAAGGGAGAGGGGTCTGAAAAAAAAAAATTTGGAGTTTTATTGTCCTGCAGGTGTGAAAGCTGCAACTGATCTCAACATTGATACATGCAGGCATGGCATAAACATCAAAAACCCAAATCCTGTTAAAAAAAAAAAAAAACCACCATCCGGCAGGTCCTGGAGGCTGTGGCCCATCTTCACTCACTGTGTATTGTACACAGGAACCTCAAGTTGGAGAAAAATTATTAATCGTTTGAAGAATTCCAAAATAGTTATCAGTGACTTTCATTTGGCTAAATTGGAGACAAGCCTCATCAAAAAGAGCCTTGTGGCACACCCGAGTACCTGGCCCCAGAGGTGGTCACACTCCAGCAATATGGTTGCCCAGTGACTGGTGGGCCATCAGCGTTACTATGCACATACTACTTTCTGGAAACCCTCAGGGTTCTCGATGAGATGGAGGAGGAAGATTACGAAAGTCACGACAAGAACCTGTTTCAGAAGATTCTACATGGCAATTATGAGTTTGACTCTCTATATTAGAATATTTCCTAGCAGCCAAATATTTGGTGTCCCGTCTGATGGAGGTGGAAATCCAGGACCTGAGGGCGACAGAGGCGGACACCTTTAGCCATGAATTATTTCAGGCACGAGTATCGGATAAAAACATTCACTGGAGATTGTGTGTGCAGATTGAGACGAACTTTGCAAAAGCCAAATGGAAAAAAAGCTTTGTGGGTGACCACAAATGATGAAGTGCCTGAGGTGCACCAGAACAGTCCAAGACCTCATCTCTCCTAGATCTATGAGCAGAGAGCAGACGCCAGGTCTGATTACCCCCGCACTCTTCACTCACTGTTTGTGCACAGGAACCTCAAGATACTGTAGAATTCTTGTATTATTCGTTTGAGCAGAATTTAGTCAGTGACTTTCATTTGCCATTCTAGTAATAAAAATTGGAGGACAAGCCTCATCAAAGAGTCTTGTGGCACACCCGAGTACCTGGCCCCCCGAGGTGGTTGCACGCCAGCAATATGGTCGGCCAGTGGACTGCTGGGCCATCAGCGTTACTATGCACATACTACTCTGGAAACCCTCCAAGGATTCAAAAGATGCTGAGGTGGAGGAGGAAGTCATGACAAGAACCTGTTCCGGAAGATTCTACACAGGAATTATGAGTTTGACTCTCCATACTGCGATATTTCTCTAGCAGCCAAAAGATTTGGTGTCCAGTATAATGGGGTGGACCAGACCTGAGGGCGACAGAGGTGGACACCATTAGCCATGAATGCATTTCAGGGAAACGAGCATCGGATAAAAGTGTGCGCAGATTGAGAAGAACTTTGCAAAAGCCAAAATGGAAGAAAGCTATGTGGGCGACCACAATGATGATGAAGCGCCTGAGGGCACCAGAACAGACCAAGACCTCATCTCCATCTATGGGCAGAGAGCGGACGCCAGGTCTGACTACCCCTGCAATGTCACCTGCCAGCACCACAGCTTTAGAAGAGCCATCCCCGCTCAGCCCCTCGATGTTTGACTTGAAGGGTTTCTTTCCTTGTAGAAAATGTACTGTGTGTACACACACACACACACACACACACACACACACACACACACACACGTTTTACTTTAATATGTTCATCCAAAAAGTTTACCACCAATCCTATTTTTTTTTTTTTTTTTTACCAGCACCTGAATGGTCTCAGAATTTTTATTGAGCGATATGAACCCTTAAGGTCTATGGGACTTTTTCCTCTAAGACATTACTGTAAGTATACATTAGATGAGAATATATCATTGTTTATATATATGTCATAATATATATTTTTAAAAAAATCAGTTTAATTTGCCTCTTACAATGGCTACATGTAATAAAGAGGTCTTACACTTTATACATTTTTAAAAACTAGGTATATATTTTTGTTGGTCACCAGCGTTAGCGGAATTTCTATACCCTATAGTACAGTACATACTATTCCCTTTCATATCACCTTTTATTGTACTTTTCAGTGTATAATTATGGTTTTAAAAAAATGGTATAGCTTGCAGATCCTTGTTGTCCCACAGGATTTCACCATGTCACTTCCTCTATATATAGACACAGCGGTATGACCCCCTGGACTGTAGAAGGAGCTGGAGAGCTCCGAGTGTGTAGCCTGCCTTCTGTGGCACTGATCCCTTCCCAGTGACGTCACGTCTGTCCGCAATTGCGTTCCACGCTGGCTCTGTTACCTCCAGTATCTGGTCAGCATTTTGAGCACTTCACATACCATCCGTGGACTACAGCGGGAACCCTAGACAGACAAGGACTTGTGTGTCTTCTGATGACAAGCAATCCTTTTACTTCAATGTGTTGAGTGTGTATATCACTTGCCTAATAAAATTGAGTTTCAATAGTGCACTTAGGGGCACCTTCCCTTGTTCCCCTTCTTGAATGTGGACTTTGAAGCTGGCTTTACAATGAGATCATGCTAGAGCTCCTGGACCATATTGAGTTGGACTATATATTGAAAGGTTTTAGCATTTAACATTTTCCCATTACCCTTAAGGCGTAGGGTGTTGCGATGAGAACATGCTGTGCCCCATCTCATGTCAGTCTGTGCCTGGTGGGAGGGGTGCGAGAAAGTTATTCACTATCCAGTCCCATTATCATATCATGTCACAGATACATTGATGATGTGCTTATCATATAAAACAGGAACTCTGAAGGAACTTAATGAATTCATAAGAAATATGGCACATAGATTTAATATGAAAGTGTTTGATTTGGAAGGGGCAGTGTTGATTACCCCATATAGGAAAGTGACATATGGAAACATTACGAGTCACGTTCACACCCAGCCCCCGTTATATTGAGTATACAGTATAGTCAATATCTGAGAGTAAAAATGCAAGATGAAGAGGCAAATGAGCAACAAGCACATTCTGGAAGGAAATAAAATAATACAAGATTTGTCTTCATGCAAGAGAACCGGAAAAGATTTACTATTTTTGACAGGATTATTAGGAAATACATTGTAGCTGCCCCAGGGCTGGTCTTCATTCAAGATCACTTGGTGTACACTCCTGACTAGAGTTACCCACATAAAATCTTCCTAAATTTGTGTCTCCAATAGTGGTTTTACACTAAAAAGGAACTACAGAAGTAAAAAAAGTTAGACGTGTAAAAAACTGTACCGTGTCAGGTCCCCTAACCCTACTTCATATTCTGTTTTGTACATCAAGGATTATTATTATTATTATACAGTATTTATAAAGCGCCAATAGTTCGCTCAGCGCTGTACATTACAAAGGGGGACAGAACATGTGAAAGAACAATACCAATACAATGCAAAACATGAGGGGATTGAGGGCCCTGCTCCTTGGAGCTTACAATCTAGGATAATCTCTAGTCAGGAATATAGACTTCTGTGAAACATTTTGCACCATGTAGGCCTCCAGGTAAGAATGTACACAGTTTTTCATAGTTAATTGGTTTGATATTGACAATGGAAAAAAAAAAACTCGTCGGGAAGCCAACTCAAGCTGTGGGTAAGCCTTATGGATCAGCCTGGCGTTTACTAATCCACATGTTTTGTATTAGTTTTACTATGTCTGTTTTAGAGCAAATAAAACTACACCTCCATTTTTGCCTTCTGAAGAAGCGGCTCACACCGCGTAACATGTAGAGGATCACAATAATGGTTGGAGTCTGTGTTCCCTTGTATTGTAACATGCCTCCGATTTGGGGTATTAGATATTTATATCGTTGCCAAGGGAAATGCTCTCCACGATAGTGGCCGATTTGTATTTGTGATTTTTTTTACCTGACTTTGTGTAATAAAATTTATATTTTGAAATACATTGTATGCGTCTTTGGGGCACCGAGAAAGTCCATACACGCTCTCTTCAGACAGGAAGCTCTGTACAATGCAATTTTAATTTTTGCAATTACAAAATGATATGCTCATGGATAATGGTCACTGTTCTGTACCAAACGTCATACGTATTTGTATATTCTTCTGCGGTGACAAAATCGGAAGACATGAAAAAATTGTGCTTGTAATTAACAAGAGTTCGGCTTTTCTCCTGTGTGAACCCTCTGGTGTTGAGTAAGGCTATACTTCTGTATGAAGCACTTACTGCATTCTGAACATTTAAATGGCTTCTCCTGTATGAATCCTCTGGTATCCAACAAGCAATAACGTCCATGGAAGAACAGGTTCCCATCTGGAAAAAGAAAGTGGCTTGCGCGTGTATTTGTGCCGAACACGGGACTATTTTATCCATGTGTGCAAAGGTTAATATGGAGGACGGGTATTCAGCAACTGTGGTGTTGCAGCCTAATCTGAAGAGGGCTGTCAGGGAAGAACTTTACATCTGTGCGCCAACGCTGGTGCACATGCACACACGGTTGCGCGTACCCAAGTGCGCTGATAAGCACAGGCGGGCTATTTAAACCCCCGCGGCAAACATAATGGTGCCTTCTGGTCTACTGCATCCTGTATCTGTATCCTGACTCCTGTAATCTACCTGCTTGATTGACTACGACTGAACTCCACCTGCACTGACCCAGCTCTCCCTTTGACTTTCCGCTTGCCTATTTCTCTGTACCTGATATGTCCAATTGATCCTGACCCAGCCTGCCTGACTAATCTACCTCACCTGCCACGGTCAGGCATCTCAGCTACACCTCTCTGCTGCTGCATCTGCTCACCCGCATGCTGTTACCGACCTGCATCCTGGTCTCCACCTGCCACCACAGACCCGTCAGGCACTCGTGCCTCTCCCAGCTCAATACCTCCTGTCTACCCTATCAGGGGTCTCGAACAGGGAGTGGCAAGAGGACACCCTCTCTCCACATCAAGCTCCACCACCAGGTATGTTACAGTACCAGAAGGCCATGTCGGAGCCTGAAAGAGGGGCCTCTCCACTACATGAAATTAGTAATCATCTTGGCACTAACACAGGCCGTCAAGGATCTTCAAGAACGATGCACACGGCTGATGAACCGCCTTCAGACCTTACCTGCTAGGCCCGTCGCAGCATCTGCTCCCGCTGCTACTACAGGAAACATAATACCTCCTGCTGTAATGATGCTACCTCCCGAGGCAAGGGTCCCTACACCACAGATTCTCTGGAGATCGCAGCAAGTTCCAGGCGTTTTGCAACACGTGAGCTTTATTTTGATTTACAACCCTTTTCCCTAGAAGCAACCAAGGTGTGGTTTGTGATTTCTCTGCTCCAGGGTTAACCACAGGCATGGGCCCACCACTTGCTGGAAAAAGAGAATGCCAAGTTAGACTCCTTTAACATCTTTTTTGACTCCATGGCTCAACTGTACGATGACACTCAGCGAGCCGTATCAGCAGAGGCCGCTCTTCATGTACTCAAACAGGGACACAGGGCAGTGAAAGATTGCATCACAGAATTTAGGCGCTGGAGCTCAGATACCAAATGGAATGACACTACCCTAGATTACCAGTTACTTCTAGGCCTTGCTGAATCCCTCAAGGATGAACTGGCCCATGTAGGGAGTACCCAATACTCTATAGGAGCTCATAATTCTCACTATACAGATTGATTGTCATCTTAGGGAGCGTAGCTTAGAGAGATCCACTGGCCTAAAGTTGCACCGTATGGATGCTACCTAGGGCTCCACCGTCAACCAACATGGCACCAACCAGCTCTGCTACACCTTCAGTGGGAGGAACCTGAACCCATGCAAAATAGGTCTATTATGAACCTCTGACACCCAAAGAACGCCATCGACGCCAGAACAACCTATGCTTCTATTGCGGAGAAGCCGGGCAGTACTTGCGAAACTGCCCCGCCAAGTTGCGCAAGTTAATGACTTACCTGCCAGTCCACCTTCTGCTCCCATCAACCATGCTCACATTTCCCATTCCTGTCTCCTTTCAGCTTTCGGAAAGAGCCCTTCCAGTTTGCACTATCCTTGACTTGCAGCTGTTTCATCGATGTAAACTTCGCTCAGCGACACCAGATACCTTTACGAGCTAAAGCGCAGAAACTTACCGTATACCTGGCTGATGGATCCAACATCTGGAACAGCTACCCAGGAAACAATTCCCCTACCTGTCATGATACCCTCCTCGGGCCACAAGGAACTATTATGTCTGGATGCCATTGCCTTCCCAATATTTCCGGTTACCTGGGAATACCCTGGTTACAGGCGCATAACCCTAACATCAATTGGGTATCTGGTGAAGTGAATTTCTGTCTCCTGCAAATGGAACTATTGTCACAAGTCCAGCAGGCATCAATGGGGGCTCCCTCACCTCCAGGAGTAACCCTATTGGCTAGATAAAACTTATTGTGGTCAGGAGACAAGATTTTTGCACTAGAAAGTGTACGGCTGGAGGAGATCTTAGGATATGTCATGATCATCCCCTGGCGGGAAACTTTGGAGACCACAAAAAAACTCCAGACCTAATACAAACGCCACTTCTGGTGGCCTGAATGGGAGAAAGACTGCAAGGCGTATGTTAACTCATGTCCTACATTCATACAAAACAAGAGCAATAGGAGCAAAACATGGACTACGGAGGCCCTTACCAGTCCACAACTCAACCCTGGAAAATGATTTCCATAGATTTTATTGTAGAACTACCCCCATTTGAAGGTTGTTCGGCCATCTTTGTTGTGGTGGATCGATTCTCAAAAAGGATGTCCCACTTCATTCCTATGAAAGGAGTTGACCTGTCCCTCAAAGAAACTTGGTCCCAAATTCCTGGGACCTTTCCCAGTAGAGGATATATATAACGTATAGTACGAACTCACTTTGCCTGAAACACTGAAGACGCATCCATGTATCATTTCATGTATGTATTTCATGTATCATTACTCAAACCCTCAGTACCTAATTTTTCCAGACCGAAAATCAAAGCCACCTGAATCTGTGATCATCAATGGCAAAAGAATATGGAGGTGGAAACAATCAATGATTGCAGAAAGAAGGGAATCAACTCCAATATCTGATCAAATGGAAGGGACCTGAACATAATTCCTGGAAACCAGCATCCAATGTCCACTCCAGAAATTTAATCTTGGCATTTAAAAAAACGCAGGTATGAGGATGCCCTTGACGGGGGACTGGCAGGGAAGAACAACTTATCTTCTGTGCGCTAACGCTGGGTTCATGATGGCCATGCCGATGCGCACACGCTGACGTACACAGGTTGGCCATTTAAACCCCTGCTGCAAACAGAATGGTGCCGTCTGGTCTACTGTGCCCTGCATCTGTATACTGACTCCTGTAATCTACCTGCTTGACTGACTGACTGAACTCCACCTGCACTGACCCAGCTCTCCCTTTGACTATCCGCTTGCCTATTTCTCTGTACCTGATATGTCCAATTAATCCTGACCCAGTCTGCCTGACTATTCTACCTCTCCTGCCTGTGACTGCCACAGTCATACGCATCTCAGCTACACCTCTGCTGCTGCATCTTGCTACCGACCTGCATACTGGTCTTCCGGGTCTTCACAGGCCCGTCAGGCACTTGTGCCACTCCCAGCTCAATCCTGTCTACCCTATAAGGGGTCCCGAACGGGAGTGGTAAGAGGACACCCTCTTTCCACATCAGGCTCCACCAGGTATGTTACAGGGTCACTGAAAGACCCACCACTGGCTGCAACCACGTGGTTCCAGTGAGCGGGAGGTTGTTTGCTACCCTTTACATCTTGGGGCACGTCTCCATCCAAAACAGCTTTGACTTTGATGGCAGCCTGGTCCTCATGCTCATGAGCATGTGATGGTGGATGCAGTAGCTATGCCCCATGCAGCCCTGTCTGCTGAGGTGGGGGAAGAGGCCTACAAAAGCACCCTCAGCCCCACCATTGCCAACCAAGGCATTTTGCACACTGCATATTTGGAAAACCTGTGGGGCTTTGCCATTGTCACAGATTCTGCCTGAAGGGAGAAGTATGCATCTCTACAGCCTTATAAAAAGGACAATTCTTCGCCATGGAAACGTCATTCCTTGCTACCATTTACATCTTGGGACATGGCTCCTTCCAGACCACATCTGACATTATCAAACATTACCTGAGCCAGCTCCCTGTGTCCAGGGAGTCCATGCAGATCATTGATGCCATTCTTGACATTGTGCCATGTTATATCCACTTCCCACAAACTACATGCAAGTGGAGGGACTTGAAGCTGGCTTGCTATCAGTGTCCTCACTTCATAAATACACTAGCAATTGGGTTGGTAGAAACTCCGTATCTGGAGAAAACTCTTTCGCTGCCCATGTAAAATTTTTATGGCCAATACATAGACACTATATTCATAAAGAATGTCTCTCCTCCAGTTTCTTTGTAGAGTACTCTAAAGACAATGAATTGGGCCTCTTTCACACATGTCCAGCTCCACTTTTAGTATTTTTAGATCCAGAGAAGGTTCTATTATCTCCAAAATTTGCTTCAAGCCTGCATCAGGTAATTCATACCTGTACCATCATAGTTGCCTCTATTCAGCTTGATAAAGAATGTTTGCAAAAGGTGAATTCACTAGACTGTAAAAACTGTACCTTGGATGAAGACTATTCTGCTCAGGGGATTATTTTAAGAGGCAGGTGATTAGAAAAAGGCTTTTACCCCCATCTAATTAAAAAGGTTTATGAAGAATAGTCTTCCATACACCCTACGAGTTCCAAATCAGATCATTTGGATAGGTTTGACATTAAATTCAACACCCACTATTATTCACATTACAGGGAGAGGGTCCTCAAGTTGGAGAACTTGTAGTATTATAACCGTTTGACTAATTCCAAAATAGTTGTCAGTGACTTGCGTTTGGCTAAATTGGAGACAAGCCTCAAAGAAGCCTTGTGGCACACCTGAGTACCTAGCCCCAGAGGTGGTCGCACATCAGCGATATGGTCGGCCTGTGGACTGCTGGGCCTTCGGAGTTATTTTGTACATACTACTCTGGGAACCCTCCGTTCTACGATGAGATGGAGGAGGAAGATTATGAAAGTTATGACAAGAACCTGTTCCTTAAGATTCTATATGGCGATTGGAGTTGGACTCTCCATATTGTGATATTTCTCTAGCAGCCAAGGATTTGATGTCCTGTCTGATAGAGATGGACAAGAGGGTGAAAGTGGCGGATGCCATTAGCCATGAATGGATTTCAGGGAACGCAGCATCCGATAAAAACAAGGATGCAGTGTGTGCGTAGATTGAGAAGAACTTCATGAAAGCCA